GGCTCACATTCGAGTCTCGCGGCTCGTTTTTACAGTTGTTGATAATCGGCGGCTACAACAACTAGCCGCGAAGCTCGAATAATCGTATCTTCCCTTCCCAAATTGTCCATTTTTATTTATAAGCTGATGGGCAATTGAAGAGAGAGTTTACTGTATTCGAGAGAGAGAGAGAGAGAGAAGAACAAGTACAATAAATTTTCCCTAATCGACGCTCAGCTTGTAAACAAAAATGGACAATTTGGGAAGTGGAGGTGTACGATTATTCCAGCGTTGCGGCTCGTTTTTACAATTGTTGACAATCGGTGGCTACAACAACTAGCCGCGAAGCTCGAATAATCGTATCTCATCTATAGTACGGCGCATCCTCCTTCTTCTCGTTGTTACCATCCCTTTCTCCGTCTCGCCACCCTTCGCGCTCCTCGCTCGTCTTCGTTGTCCCTTATTCACCTGCGCGCATTCGTTTACCTCGCGAAACATGCACGCGTGGAACGAAAACGCGTCCGTAAACGGCCGAATTTTCGAACAACCGAACGGGATCGAATCGAACGTTTCGTAAGCAACTCCAACGTTGTTTCATTGTTGCGTACGTTGACCCTTGACGATGGAAGATCACCGATGCTAGAAAAATTCTGATAACGAATGGACTTGGACCTTACCGTACAGCGTCGGTCAGTCGTGTATACACGCGCTGAAAAGCGGCTCTCTTTCGGCCGAGAATATCGTTCGGATATTCTTCCTCTGCTCTCGCGTTCGCCGTTATTCGTTATTTTCCTTTCTTTTCTTCTCTTTTCGATCGCGCGACGCGATCCGATCCGAGTTCCGAAGCAGTTCCGAACACTTCGAATTCGAAAGTCCGAGGCTCGAAGCAGCCGAGGCTCAAACTTTCGTCTCTAAAGCATCGGTTTACCGCGGCGCCGATGGCCAAGCAACCAGCGTACGCGAAATCGCGTTCAACGTGCGAATCGATTGCCGATCGAGCGAGGCGAAAGAGAGGAGTTCGACAAAGACGTTGGCAGAAGCAAATACGCTTGGCAAGGGGGAGGAAAAGGAATGTATGTATGCGGATCGACGAACAGTCACGGATCGAAATTATTACGCAAACAAGCAGACCGTTCGTTCGTACGCGACCCCATGATTCATAACGCGTATCTTGCGAGTACAATGCAACGAGGTTGTTTAAACGAACGAAAGCTTTTCTTCTTCTCCGAAAGCTTGACCCCGCGCGCAACAGCGTCGTCATTCGGCCTCTCGTCGCGTCTCGTTTTCCGGTACAGCAACAAAAACGGAAACGACGTCGTAGGTTTGCTGTGTTTGAACGGAGCCCGGTATACTCTCTTTGCAGAGCTTTGCCCAATGCAAATATCATGCGTATCGCAACTTGCATCTCGCATCGTGCATCTTACGTCGTATCTTGCATCTTGTGTCTCGCGGCACATGTAGATGCTACACAAATATGTGTAATGCAATGGTAGAAAAATCGACTAGGAATTTCTCGATCTCGAAAGCTGTCGCGTCGACGCTTGGCTCACCGACGCGGGCAGCTATTGGCAAAGCATGGGCCAACTTTATCCTCGTCTTTTTATATATTTAATATAATTAATAGTATAATTTAATATAATATAATTTTAATAATATAATTTAATATGATATAATAAAAATAATATAATTCGTTATATAATATAACGTAGGTAGTAGGTAATAGGTAATTAGACGATAGATAATAGATGGCGAACAAACGTCGCGCGGCACACGTTTAACCCTTTGCACTCGAACGACGACTCTGTGGCGCCACTAAAAATTGCTATACTATTTTTCAAAATCATTCCAAGAGCATATCAGACTCGTTTATATTGGAAAAAAAGAAGCTATTAAAATCGCATCGCATTCGCCAATAGGCTAAATTTCATATGCATAAATCATATAAAATAATAATTAATAAATTATATAGGATAGAAATACTGTAGATCAGAAATCATGCTTTCGATTTCGAATTCGAATAGCTTCGACTGCAAAGGTTTAATCGCGCTAGTCGACCAAATATCGCTGGTCAGTTCTTCCGTTCGCTGTCGCCTCGCGAAACGCATTAACGTAACGCGATTCATTTCTAGCAGAAATCAACGCTACATGCAGTTATTCGTTAATTCGGGCAGTTCACCCTTCGATCGGGAGGAACACCATCGAGCAGAGCTACTTACCGCGATAACATTGCTACGATCTTGCTTCTCTCACGATCGATCCCTTTCCGTGTTCGTCCATCTTCCGGATCCTCGATCGATGACCACGATCGTTCAATTAGTTCGCTCGTCTCGCCGTCGCAACGAACCGCCCTTATTTTCGGCGAACGCGCGCGCGCGACTTCGATCTCGAGATTTCGTTCGAAATCTCGAACCCCTCCCGAAACTGTTTCCTACCGCGTTCCCGTATCTCCTCCTCTCGGCCCTTGCGCGTTCAATTCCTTCTCACTTGATCTCAATTCGCACTTGCGCTCGTTCCCCCGATCAAGCGAAACACTTTACGCGCGCAATCGATAATCGCGATGTCGTCCTGCGATTTAGCGAATTCCATTTATTAGCAGTCGCACGAAAATGCACGGTGACCGCTGTTCTATGATTGGTAGCGAGGTTACCGTATAGTGTATATTATGCACGTAGCGGAGAACCAGCGGCAAAGTGAAACCACTGCGGACTGCACGACATAAAAAAAGAGAGAAGAGAAAAGAGAGGAGAAAAAGAGCGAGAGAGAAAGAGAGAGAGAGAGAGAGATGGAGAGGGAGAGAGAGAGAGAGAGAAACAATCGCGTCTCTCTGGATGGTCGAACCGAATCGGGTGCAACGCAGTCGGGGACTCTCTGTTTGATTGAAACGGTTTGTTCCGTTCGATCGGGAAATGCCGATTTCTTAATCGAGGGAAAACCTTCAAATAAATGCAAATATATGTGTATTTATTGGAAGCGGCGAAGAGACGGAGGAATAACGTTCGACTTGCCGGGGATGCCTACGGTTATAGGCTACAGTTGTAGGCTTACAGCGTACAGCGTGTTAGTTGGATGGTTAGATGGGGGAGGGGGAACTCGGCGACTCGGTGGCCCTGTATGCAACGGAGGATGTGTGGTGGGAGTACCGCGAATAGTACGCGAAGAAAACTATGCGCACGGTCGACGCAGATCTTCGCGGCCCAACATACACTCGCACGTATGCGCCAATTCCATCGGTTTCTGTTTGCCCGGCTGTACGCATGCGTCGCTTCTATCGTTTACCAGCGAAACGCGTTTTTCTTATCGGTTAAACAGAATATACATTATATTAAATATATCTATGCCCATGTACGTGTACATACATACGTACATACATACATACATACATACATACATGCAAATATTCGTGTACGTGTATCGGTATGTACGTGTACGTTACATTATGCGCAACTTTCGTCTTCCTCCCAAACGGCTTGTTATTCCACCGTTCGAAAACGATGTTTTTTTTTCAAACGATGTTCGAAATCGGATCTTTTCCTGCGCCTGTTTTCCTTTCGTTTCTTCTTCTGTTCGTCAACGTTCATCGTCGTTGGTCCTTGTCGTTTTCTTTATAGTCGATTTAACGTTGATTTATTTGATAAAAAAAGATAATTATGGAACGGAAAGAAACACAAGGTAGGGCTGTAACATAAAACTTTTTAAATCCCTATGGGTCAAGTCTTATGCATGTTCGAGAAAAAAAAAAGAAAAACAGTTAGAGGCCGAGGAATGACGGGAAAAGCTCGATAGGCTATTTTCAAAATGAACGTTGTGTTATCAGGCAAGCCAGCCGACCTTTTCAAATTTCCTTTTCAAATTTCCTTTTCGCAGTGACTCACCATGTACACTTTTGTTCTCTATGAGGGGACCAGGTAAACAAATTACCTGCGCTTGCGAACTGTGAGAACACGACCGATACAATCTACGAAGCGCCAGTGACGAGGCTAACAGTAAGATGCAGTTACACAAATCGACATTCGGAATCCGGCAAAGTCGATCGCATCTTGACACGGATCGTCGCATAGAGTAATGCGTGACAACGATAGAATATAAACGATCGACCGAAAAACGCTCTAATTACGCATAACATTAGGTATAGGCAAGTGAAATACGAACGTGGATCGATGGATCGATCGATCGACTACGCGCGCGATACTTTAGGTCGGTCAAGGTTACCGAGCTGCCGTAAACAAATTCATACTCGTGGCTAAGTTTATTCGTTTCTTTTGTCTGCAATAAGTTTCGCTGATCGATCTTGACACGTTCGTCCGCGATTCATCCATCTCACCGCGTATACCGTGTTCCGTATTTAGTTGAAATTCGCCGTTATGCAACTCGAGTAAAACTGTTATCGAGTAGAACTGGTCCAGCGAATATATACATATATTTTTGGTTTTCATTTGCACGCGAACAAATCGAAACAAGTATGTAATTACTTTGGATCCGTTAGAATTTCATTTGATCGCGGTTGCGCAACGATACCATTAACCAACGACAGAAACAGTCCACCGAATTCTATCGTTAGCGAAACCAACGAGCAAATTGTTGTTATCGCTTTCGGTTAATTACCGAGGCGATGCTACGCCGCGCCGGTGGCTTCTTCAAGGTGACGACTACTCAGCTTAAAACTATGTACGCCAAAAATGGAGGAATAAATAACCGGTCAAAGGTTAATTTCATCATTTGCCATCGGTGCGCAACCTTATATTCTTCGAGTGTTTGGAACATCAATTACGAATCTTGTGTCGTCACATATCGATAAGTGTCGCGAAAACGACTGTTCTCTATTCCCACGGGCGATACCTACCATACCTTCTTTCTTGTAGTTAGCATTTTCTTGACAATTCCGACTCGAGTTGAATTCAATTCTCATCTCGACTTGCACCGTGATCGAATATTTCGTTATTTCTTACGTTCTTTTGTTTCATTCGTCGAAGAGAAAAATCGAAGAGAAATTCACGATAAAATTACCTCCGTTAAAACGCGCGCTCCTTTACAGTCAACTTTATTTTAATTTCCCTCGATCGTATTCGCTTCTGACCTAATTAATCGTTAAATTTATTTCTACGTGCACCCTCTGTATCGAATTTCGGCCCAACTTCGGAAAAAAAACAAAGTTTAGGACAATCAGAACTTACAAGCATTCCCAACTTTTTCATCTTTTGCATTTTCCGTAATATACAATTTTACGACATACCTTATGAAAATTAAGTTCTCCAGGGGGACAAGAATGCAGGAAGAACATACACTTAGAAATTGCACGTTACGTTCGTATTAAGCTCGTGTGTATCATGTACTTATCTATCCGCCGTTCTGGGTCCTGTATACCAAATATCGCGTTTTGTATATTGTGTATTGTATATCGTGTATCGTGTATTCGAAAATCATAAGTTGATTTCTCGTTCGATACACTTTTCACGGGCAGAGATGGTAGCACTGATAGTAGATACAATGTAAGTCGCATTGCAATCTTCTACGAAACAGTTTTTCCTTTGCCAGTGTACTCTGATTTACACGTACACGCGCACAATTACACGGCTGAACGCACAGAAATAATTTACACATTTTTCGTTGCCATTGTTTACCAAATAGCTTAAAAAATAAATACTTTTTGCTGATTTCTCATCGTAATACAAACGAGACGAACGGTGCATGCTGCAGAATAAAGGGACGTAGAACACACCCAACCCTGAGGATCCAGTGTTTTTTTAATAAAAGATAAATCAACAAAACAAACGTAAAAACACGGTGATTGATCGACGAGATAAACAAGGAGAAAGGAAGTGGTTGGGTATTATCGGCACTAATTACAACGTTCTCGTAGGAAAAGTGCACAGAGATCGAAATACTCTCGTCGCTTCCTTTTTCCAACCGTTCGGCTAGATCACATAAGCGATCGGTATTCAACTACGAGACTATCCTTAACCGATTATTAGTCCGCAGCCCAGTCTAAAGTGTTGTTTACTATGATTCACCATGCCGCTTAACGCGAACGAAAATGGCAGTGGTGGCAATTTCTTTTCCAAAACAGCACCTACCGTCCAATTCGTGTCGACGCTTCCTACGATCAAAATTCAAATTATATTTCAATCTTTTTTTTTGTGAAATTCCGCTGCTACGAATCGAGAACGGATACTATACCTCTGAACACTAAATCGGCCTTAGGTAAATCTACTTGATAAGCAATAGTTCCAGTACATTCCTGTATTCGGGTATCAATCTCTAGTTCCACGCCTACTTGCAACTGTTGACTAGCTTTCTGATGAAAACATAGATGACAACCGGTTACTCCTGAGGAAAATAACGGGCATATTCAGACACAACTTTTCTATTTACGATACCTATTAGAACCGAACAATGTGAATCAATTTTAAAAACGCGTACCCAGACTTCCACTAATCGTAGAATCTCCGTTCGTATATCTTGCGGCGCCTGCAACAACAGCGACTTGACCTCCTGGTACACCAGGTCCTCGCTGATAAGCCAGTTCACCACCGAGCGCAACAGACGGCGTTACACTTTGAAGATAATGCAACACAAAAACGCCTGGAAACAATTTCTTTCTGTAGTTATATTCTACTACAATATTTCTACCTATCATCTCATTATACTGTTTTAATCTCCCACACTTACCAGAACCATCAAGTATATCTACATTGCCAAGCGTCAAAGAGGCAGTATATGCATCACCTCGATAATCTGCTGTCAGTTGCGCAGCAGTCAATTTACTTTTCTGTATTTGGGCTGCTAGCTTTCCCTTTAATCTCTGTCCGAACTGGTGAATCACATTAGCATTAAGATTTCCACTTGGATCTATGTCCCCTAACAATACTGGATAACCTTCCGTAGGTACTGGCTGTTTCGTACCAACGTACGTTGCTCCAAACCTGAATAAAATCAACTACAGTTAACAATGTGTACTTTATTATCGAATAACTAAAGAAAATTGTCGTCACACGTAAACTTACCTGTATCCGGATGGACTACAAGAACTCATATTTATTGTATGAGAAATTTGAAAGTGATTACTGAGCCCCTTACTGATCATTAACTTTGCTCCTTCAAAATTTACAGGGAATACATCTGTCATAACATAAATGTGTATTAGCAAAATTAAAGTTAATCGACAAAGCTAATTCGAATCTAGCATATAAAATATGTGTTGATCTCTTCATTTTTTTACTTTTTCTGAGAACACTTAACAGAATATAGTAGAATATAATAGCAAGTATAAAGAAATTAATAAGCTAAACTGCAAGGATACCTTTGCATTTCTTATGAAGATCTTCGATTGTGCCAGGATTTTCCACGGTACTCGGGACTTCGGTGGACGGGTATAATCCCGTGGGTGAATCTTGCTTTCCCACATTGGGCAATACAATTGAACCTGGAGGCGGCGGCGGTGGTGGCGGTGGCGGAGGAGCTGCAGCGGCTAATACGTTTCCCATTTTCTCTCAATTTTATGGTTAACAATTCCGCTATTTTTGATTTTCCAAATACAAACGAATGGAACACCGAAACTATTTTAGCAGACCTGTACTTCTACTCTGTACACGTACGCTCGATACTTGTTTCTATAAAATTCGTCAGCGAGAAATCCTCGCGGTCAAACGAATCGGCGTGCTTCTCCGGGAGTCGCCATTTGTAAGAGACAACCATTGATACCTAAGCCTCAAGATACGTAAGTGCATGCTACAATTGTATCTGACAATGAATGTATGTACACATTGCATACTACATTCTTCTTACACTGTGGTTAGATACGCAATCCCATATGAGTGCTCATTCTACTCTGATATCTCGTCCGTGCCCTAACTTTGTTTCAAAATTTTTCCATAAGTGGCGCCACTATTCATAAATGGCGTTATTTTTAAATTTTCATATTTGCAACAATAAATTAACTATTTTTGCATGGTACGAATGCGAGACGGTCTCGTGAACATTTCTGTAACACTAGAAAATAGTGAAAAATTTTAAAACCTCCCTTTACAACAGTCCTAAACTTGCACAAGAAATACAGCGACTAATTATGCTTAAATACATACATGTAGGATTTTTTAATAGGGTAAACGGATTCAAATAAAACAATATAATTATGTATTCAAATTGAATATTCTACATAATGAAATTGATTAAACAAATTTTGTGGCAATAGCCAGTAGTTTCGTGTAATCAGCTCCTTTAAGGTGAGTATTCTTTTTCATAATTGTTCGCAGAATATTTGGAATTGGAACATGAATTCTGGTACCCAGTGGTGTTCCATTGTCATCTATTAGTACTATGTTATTGCTGTCAAATTTTGGAACTTTTTCATTCTGATTCTGTTTTAAGCCCACCAATATACCTTTCTTCTTCTCACCTCTTATTGCAACCAGCACTCTGTCTCCTGTATCATTTAAAGGGAAGGATAAGAAAACAAAAATGACCAAGTACATTGTCAGTAGACTCACCTATATATCCAACTCCTGTCTTATTATAAACATGTATACAACGTGGTGGCTTCCCTTCCATCATCGCTTGCTTTCCTATTTCGCTATTATCTACAACTCTTAATCGTGTTAATCTAATTATTTGACTAGACACTGTCGACGTAGAAATATTTCTAGAGAAAAATGAAAATAACATCCCCCTTGTAGACATTATTGCACAAATATCTGTAAAACATAAGTACACTGTGTACAATTATTTCTATTACACAAGTCTATTTACGTAAAAGAACGTTATAGTCTTCTCTGACAATACTTAGTTCAAGCGCACATGAACACAATCATTTCTAATTAATAATAAGTTTTATTTTCATGGAATATTATTCCATATGTTTGACTTGAATGTTTCATTAAAATTACCTGGAAATCGCAAAAGATGTCTTTATATATGTTTGAATAACGAATTTAATGCGTGTACGCAAAAACGACCGTTTAAGAGAAGGTTTATCGACAGCTGAACATAACCTATATATTAATGTTAACAAAACGCATGTCCGCCGTACAGAAACATGGAAGGAATACTGTGCTGCAGAAGAATGATACGACAATTAAATATAATTCATAAACTTAGAGCAAATTCAGTGCTGATACGAAAATGTAGTACAGAAAAAAGCTCGGACGATAGCGTAAAAATATCGGAAAGATCGGAAGAACAAAATGTTGATACAAAAAAGCACCTAAGTGGATTCGCACAAGCTTACGACAAATTCGAATCCATCGATAAGTCCTACGACCCTTCAAAACTATTAAAATCTCGTTCGTTCGCTAAAATGCTTCGAGATTCGAAGTTCATAGACGTAAATTTTCTATATTCTGTAACATTGTACATTGTATTTAATTTACTGTTATTTTATAAAATCATTTTTTTTTTTAGCTTGGAGATCCCCAAAAAAAGGTTGTAATTGGAGAAATTTTCAACGTTGTTGGGGATGATTTATATATTGATTTTGGATGGAAATTTCATTGCGTGTGTCCAAAACCTAAAAAAGATACGAGGTAAATCATAAAATAATTACGGTCACAACGAGATCTTATTTTTACTGTTATTTTTTAGTAAATACGTTAGAGGATCGAGAGTCGTTCTTAGGATACTAGATTTGGAAATGTCTACAAGATTCCTAGGAGCACGTTCCGATTTAACGCTTTTGGAAGCAGATTGTGTTATCTTAAATTTAATATCTTCACCGATTCGAGATCAGTAAATACAAAAATGAAATTACATACATTGTACATTATAATAAAGACTCATCTCAGCGTGCACATGTCGTTTTTCTTCGATTTTCAACAACAGCAAAATTCAGAATTTACTGCTAGCGAATTTCGCCTAGCATAACATATTCTTTTCTTGTTTTAAATTACATAGTGCGACATAAATAATAATAGTATTTCTACTTATGCAACGACATATTACACGTTTTCAGTAAATATAAGAACATGACTTTTTATATGCTAATAAAAATATATACAGTAAATTCTTCCCAATTGTCGTTCGGTTTCTAAACAAAAATGGACAATTATTAACAACTATAAAAATGAGACGCAAGGTTCGAATAATTGTATCTCCTCTTTCCAAATTGTCCATTTTTGTTTACAAGCTGAAGGACAATTGGGGAGAATTTACTGTATGCATATAAATATGTACACACATACATATATCGCACTACATGTATATATGATGAACATATCCATATACAGATTCTACCGCCGGTATATTTCTCACGTAATTTAATTTTAGCCAATTTTAGTTCTGTTGTTTACCATAAGATTGCATGGTGACAGTGTTGTAAAAAGCATTCAAGTACTTTGTTAAAATTATACAAGATTTATACAAAAAAACAAATTCTAATTTTCAGTTTCATACAAAATGATAAACGAGGTTTGTACACTTCACATAATAAAATTTTATTGAATATAACCTAGATATTTATTCTCTTTTTCCTCCTTAATATGTAATATTAATTGAACATCAATCAATTTGTTGTATATACATAGCAAACCGTTTGTTGTGGATGTTTCGAATCAATTTTGGTCGATGAACGGAAAAACATATTTGACGATAATTTATGGATCTCTATACATCAGTACACCGAAAATTTTAAAGAAACCAACGAGAGCATGAAGCAAATGAAATTAAGCGACTGCATCGAATTAATCACAGGTCGGAAGGTAGGTAATGCATATATGTAATTCTTTTGAATAATTAATCCTAAAATTATTATCTAATGGTAGTGCAATTATCTATTTGCAGATTGTAAGAATGAACCAAAAGTTGGTCGATTTGTGTCCTAAATGTTTTCAAAATGTACAGTCATATATAAATTTTCGCACTAGATTATTGCTTTCATTGTGTTCCGAGAAAGACGAGAACAAAAGTACAAATTTAATTCAGAGTGAGAAGGATTCATGTTTGTTAGGAAATACAACTACAAATGACAATAAATTGTTAAAAGAGGAGACACTGGCTGAGTGTGCAGTAAATATAGTCGAGTCTGATATACCTTTGTATAGTATAATCGATAACAACAATTCTATAGATAATATAAACGAATTAGGTAATGAACAGGAGAATAAAGCCTCCAATGATTTAGAAAACTCTAGAATTAATTTTGGTACTTCGATATCCTGGCATATAGACTTAAAACATCAAGACACCGATATAGAATCAGAGATAGATGTCTGTTCTGGTGAGGACGAAGAAGTATTGGAACTAGATGACCAGAAAAGAACCATTAATATCATTGAGATTGATACATCGTCGGAATCGGATATAGAAGTGTGCGATTATGAACCAATTGGAAAAAGATTTAAAAAATACCAAGTTTTTTCGCCACATTTACTTTTTTAACTGTTTACTATTTTTTTAAATTAATAACATTGAATTACAAACTTGCGAGAAGACTAGTATTCAAAATTTTGTTAATAATTGTACATAGTTTAAAATTTTAGAAAAGACATGTAATTATCTTTATAAGTTAAATTTTACATTGTGTTCATATAATNTTTACTGTATGCATATAAATATGTACACACATACATATATCGCACTACATGTATATATGATGAACATATCCATATACAGATTCTACCGCCGGTATATTTCTCACGTAATTTAATTTTAGCCAATTTTAGTTCTGTTGTTTACCATAAGATTGCATGGTGACAGTGTTGTAAAAAGCATTCAAGTACTTTGTTAAAATTATACAAGATTTATACAAAAAAACAAATTCTAATTTTCAGTTTCATACAAAATGATAAACGAGGTTTGTACACTTCACATAATAAAATTTTATTGAATATAACCTAGATATTTATTCTCTTTTTCCTCCTTAATATGTAATATTAATTGAACATCAATCAATTTGTTGTATATACATAGCAAACCGTTTGTTGTGGATGTTTCGAATCAATTTTGGTCGATGAACGGAAAAACATATTTGACGATAATTTATGGATCTCTATACATCAGTACACCGAAAATTTTAAAGAAACCAACGAGAGCATGAAGCAAATGAAATTAAGCGACTGCATCGAATTAATCACAGGTCGGAAGGTAGGTAATGCATATATGTAATTCTTTTGAATAATTAATCCTAAAATTATTATCTAATGGTAGTGCAATTATCTATTTGCAGATTGTAAGAATGAACCAAAAGTTGGTCGATTTGTGTCCTAAATGTTTTCAAAATGTACAGTCATATATAAATTTTCGCACTAGATTATTGCTTTCATTGTGTTCCGAGAAAGACGAGAACAAAAGTACAAATTTAATTCAGAGTGAGAAGGATTCATGTTTGTTAGGAAATACAACTACAAATGACAATAAATTGTTAAAAGAGGAGACACTGGCTGAGTGTGCAGTAAATATAGTCGAGTCTGATATACCTTTGTATAGTATAATCGATAACAACAATTCTATAGATAATATAAACGAATTAGGTAATGAACAGGAGAATAAAGCCTCCAATGATTTAGAAAACTCTAGAATTAATTTTGGTACTTCGATATCCTGGCATATAGACTTAAAACATCAAGACACCGATATAGAATCAGAGATAGATGTCTGTTCTGGTGAGGACGAAGAAGTATTGGAACTAGATGACCAGAAAAGAACCATTAATATCATTGAGATTGATACATCGTCGGAATCGGATATAGAAGTGTGCGATTATGAACCAATTGGAAAAAGATTTAAAAAATACCAAGTTTTTTCGCCACATTTACTTTTTTAACTGTTTACTATTTTTTTAAATTAATAACATTGAATTACAAACTTGCGAGAAGACTAGTATTCAAAATTTTGTTAATAATTGTACATAGTTTAAAATTTTAGAAAAGACATGTAATTATCTTTATAAGTTAAATTTTACATTGTGTTCATATAATGATTATGTAATTAATTTATTTAACATATTATAGTGTTGTAACATTTAATTATGAAAATATCATGTAGAATGGAAATTAATTTTTGTAATTCATTAGAGGAAATGATTGTACTGTATTACCAATGTTTGATTTATTTTTCTTCTTTGTGTAATTTGTTAACCCATTAGCTTAGTGGATTATGTAGTTGATTTCTTTATGTGATGATATATACATATTTGTACATTTGCATATATGTATGTACGTATGTAATACAAAATAAGAATCGTGATCTGCGTTTTTACAGAAAGATCATTAATTTATGTTAGTGATGTAATAATCTTTGGAACCACATAAAAACAATGATACATATAAAGTTATCTTATCTACTGGTGCACAGCAATATGCCCGTTTAACCTTTCGATAATAATTGTAACTATTGCCCCGTTTACGCGTATACATAATTTTCGTTATTCAGTGTGAAAAAGTGTATATAGTAATAATAAATTAAACAAAATTTAATGACGTTAGCCATTTCTTGTCTCAGCTTTTTATAAAATTCAGTAAGTAAACAAATTATTGTAGCAATGGATCAATTGTCAATTATGTATAAAATAACAATGTACTTCTCTATTATCAACTATGTGTACCAAGTTAATTGCAGGTACTCAGAGCATGCAGATCTCAAGAATTTCAACCACCAGATTTGGGAAAGTAAGATTAAAAATTTGAAGCATAATTTTAACAAATGATTCTGTGGTTATAAAATACAATTTTGTTTATCGATCGCAGATCTTAATTGCGAATAGAGGAGAAATAGCATGTCGTATTGCAAAAACTGCCAAGAGGCTTGGAATTCAAACTGTTGCTGTATATAGCGACGTGGATCGTAATTCTATGCATGTAAAGCATGCAGACGAAGCATATTACATTGGTCCAGCACCTTCTAGTCAAAGCTACTTGCAACAGGATAAACTTGTATATATAGCAAAAAAGTCAAAGTGTCAAGCAATACACCCTGGTTATGGATTCCTTTCGGAAAATGCAGAATTTGCAGAACTTTGTGAGAAAGAGAACATTACATTTATTGGACCACCAGCAAATGCTATTAGAAATATGGGAATGAAGAATACCTCAAAAGCTATAATGGTAGCAGCTGGAGTTCCTGTTATAGCTGGTATACAAATATTTTTACAGAATATATAATGTGTTTCTGGACTATATTGTTTACCTTTGTACTTCTACTGCTTGCACTAGCAAATATTATGAAAGAAATATTCCAGTTTTCAAACTACATAATCATTTTTCTTCTGCTGACAAAACAAAAATGCACAGTAAACAAAACGAAGTGTATAACAATGCGTTAATGTAAGTATATTGTTATAACTTTCTGTTCATGAATAACTGAATTGCAGGATATCATGGAGACGAACAATCTAACGAAAGTTTGCTACTGCAAGCAAAACGAATTGGTTTTCCATTAATGATTAAAGCTGTTCGCGGTGGAGGAGGAAAAGGAATGAGAATTGCTTTCAAAGAGTCTCAGTTTATGGAAGCTTTAGAAGCTGCGAGAACCGAATCTGAGAAAGCATTCGGCGATGCAGCTGTATTGCTTGAGCATTATATTCCCGAATCAAGGCATATCGAAGTTCAAGTCTTTGCAGACATGCACGGAAATATTGTACATATGTTTGAAAGAGATTGTTCTGTCCAGAGGAGACATCAGAAAATTATCGAAGAAGCTCCTGCGGTATGCTGACAATTAAATTAAAAATAAATTAAATATTAGTCATGTAATATATATAGATACAATGTATCGTAGCCTGGCATATCAACGGACATAAGATCAAATCTAGGTGCAACTGCAATTCGAGCAGCTAAAGCAGTAGGCTATGTAGGTGCGGGTACTGTAGAATTTATAATGGATCGTAACGGAAATAGTTTTCATTTCATGGAAATGAATACTCGTCTTCAAGTGGAGCATCCCATTACTGAAGCGATTACTGGATTGGATTTGGTGGAATGGCAATTACGAGTTGCAGCAGGAGAAAAACTTCCACTAAGACAAGAAGAAATCGGGTTCGTCGGGCATGCATTTGAAGCAAGAATTTACGCCGAGGTATCCAATTTTTTATTTCAGCGATTCTGAAGGCTATGTAGGTGCTAAATTGTTTCTCAGCTTTCTTCCATGCTTGCTTTTTTTGTCTTTTTGAATTGTCTTGCTATAACAAACCATAGAATCCAAGGGATGGTTTCCTACCAGGGGCTGGACAGCTGTTATACTTGAGAACTCCCAAGGTTCTGCCCAAGATGATTAGAATTGACACAGGAGTTCGCGAGAATGACCAAGTATCGGTACATTACGATCCTATGATTGCAAAATTAATTGTCTGGGGAAACGATAGAGGAGAAGCATTAGCCGTACTCAGAACGAAATTAAACGAATACAATGCAAGTACATGTACTTAGATACAGTAGCGTAATCTACGTGTTCAACCATATTACTCTGTATACACATTGTCATGAAATTCTCTTATATAATTTTCAGATTGCCGGACTGGATACCAATATAGAATTCATTAAGGATTTATGTTCTCATCCCAGTTTTCGACAAGGTCAGGTACACACGGGATTCATAAAGGAACATTACCAACAACTATTTCCTAAATTACGTGTCCCGCAGTCAGTCGCGATGCAGGCTGTTCTTGCATCAATATTTTACGAAGATCTTCTGTCATTACAATCTTCGCTTACCACTGCCGACCCTTTCAGTCCGTTCGCTACAGAAATTGGATCGCGTTTAAATCACAATTTAACGCGAGCTTTTCGTTTTAATGTTTGCGATGAGGACATCGATATCGAAGTAAAATACATTGAGCCAGAAGTTTATTCTGTCAGAATAAATAAAATTGGGCCGTGGAGAAAGGTAACGGGTATGTTATCGAAGAAAGACAACTCGTTAGAATTGTGTACTGAAATCGATGGAAATATCACCAGCACGTCGATAATCAAGATTAATAATAAGCTACATTTATTTACCAAAGTTAGTATACTTTCTAAAGAAATTAATATATATTATATTAATAATTAATATACACCGTAATAATATGTCTAGTTTCGTTAATTCTCGAAATTCGTAGGATCGAGAGTGGCAATTCGTTGAACCCTCTATGAAATTTCTTTCTGATGATACAAGCACAAATTCTGAAGTAGATCCATGCAAAGCGTTAAGTCCCATGCCTGGTTTAGTAGAAAAACTGTTTGTTGCGAAAGGAAGCTTTGTAAAAGCTGGCGATGCCTTGCTCGTTATTACTGCTATGAAGATGGAAGTGGGTTCTTTCTTATCTTTTGTAAACATTATTAAATCATCTATTCATTAGTCAATCGTTAATTGACAAATAATTTGATTTGTTCATAGCACGTCGTTAGAGCGTCCACAAACGGAACAGTTGAAGAAGTCTTGTGTTCAATAGGCGATAACGTGGCAAAGAATAAGATTCTTGTTAAATTGATTGAATCTACATCTTAAAATATAAAAATTCAAAATAATAAAAATGTTTGCCTTTTATTATCATTTGCTTCTCTTCGTTTCGGTTAGTGTTTAAAGATTTTATCTTGCCATGCGAGTAAATTGAAATGAAGTCTCAAAATGAGATCGAGATTAATCATGCAATGTGTGCACACAAATGAAAATTTAAATTTTGAATTGTCGCGCGCGGGCGGTCATCGACGATTCCGAACTTCCGAACCCGAACATACCCGAAGTAACGGCGCGCGAACCGTATAAATTCGTTTTTCGAATTCTGTAGTGACTGATGAAGACGTATTTGGAAGGGTTACAGTTACTGTTTCATTTCTTTTTGTTCGTTCAACAAATATAAAGATATTACGATCCTTGTAATAAATAGCTTTTAAGCTCGGGTAATAAAAAATGAGCAATTTTCATTCTCCTATGCGGTGTATTTCACCTAATGCAAGGTAAGTTGATCAACGTGACAAATTTAATTTCAAGAAAGGTTAGAATGCTGTTCGAATTTCGGAAAAAATATTAAGTTGTTACCTACATTTATAGAGTTCTAACTGCTAAACCTCAAGTAGAACAGACACTGGATATCAGACAAGCACAGAATAAAGCTAGGAACAGTATTACATGGTTTTTTGTCAATAGCTCTTTGCTTGGAATCATCGTTTTTGACATGTAAGGGACCAATTATATTTAAAATAAATAAACGATCAACTTGATCAAAATTAAAGATCAATACTCATACTATTTCTTATATTATTTTACAGATTGTATGGAGGTGCTGCGTATAAACCATTTTGTTGGGTCGAGTGGTGTTTAGCCTCTATATTTGCATTGAACGCGTTTTATCACATTGTACGATATGCTTGGGCAATATTCACATTAAAACCAGTCATCCTAAGTCCTAGACAAAGACGATTGCTAGGAGTCTCTGAAGATGACCCCATTTTCAAAAATGAAATTCCATCGCCACAAAAGTCATCGGAGCCAATATTTCCATTGAATTTGTCTTGCATTAGTCTGAATAGGCGTTTGACATCTTTAAGTTCTCCAGGATTAAATGAATCCAGTATGAAATATGTTTGTTTTTTCATATTCTAATTCTCTATTATACAGGGTGTCTCAGGTTTTAATGTTCAAACTTTGTCAGTGTATTCTATGGCACAAAGTAAGAAAAAAATGTTATGTAAACATAGGTCATATAGAGCTTTATTAAGAAATTATAACAAAAATTAATAAAATTAATAAAATTAATAAATTAATTTTTTTGTCAATCATGTATTGTCAACAACGGTAGACATTTCAAAATGTATTAATAAACACAGCATACATAAACGCACGGCATGTGCTGATCTATTCAAGCCAATGCTCGCAGTAACAGCAAGTTGATTACTATTCCTATCCTGAATTTTTGTTATAACTTCTTAATAAAGCTCTATATGACCTATGTTTACATAAAATTTTTTTCTTACTTTGTGCCATAGAATACACTGACAAAGTTTGAACATTAAAACCTGGGACACTCTGTATAGATACATACATTATATATAGCAATATTATTTTAACTTTTTCTTTTCAAGAGAACTTTACATCGACAAATCCATTTTTCAAATACAGTAGTCCAACATCTCAAAAATCTACATCCAGTCCCAATGGTTCTTTTAATAAATCTCTTAATGCTTCAACAAATGCAAATTTAACTGGTGAGGATTTGATTCAAAGCGAGAAAGAACTACAAAATTATTTGGAAGAAACTCGACAAAGGAAACATGTTCTATCCACTGATATCGATCAACCCTCTAACTTGCTTAGTTCATTTTGGTCACATCCTGCGATTAGAAGTCCAGGAGAGGTATCTCCTTTATTGAGGAGCTGCGCATACCAATTAGCGCCTATTATCGGTATTATTGCAGAGCAAACAGTTTTGTACGACGGTCAAGGTTTTACCACGTTACCATACATATTCCGTTTTTGTAGATAAGTCAAAATCTACTAGCCCTGGTGCAGAAGAAGGACATTCACCTAGAGGTATGCTCGGAGTATCGGACGTTTGGAGAAAATACAGGATAGATTCTAACAAAGTAAACGAGTGGACGGCTAATTTACGCATGGCAAGTAAAAATAATTTTATTTCGGGTGAAAACTTCGTTGCGTGTTAATCATGTGTTAATTTAAAACTTGTTTGATAAATTTCAGTGGATTAGTAAGACCGTTGTCGAACGAGTGGCTATGGAAATTGATAATGTGTGCTCCGCTCTAGTTCGTCATGGTTTAAGCGATTCCCAACCAGGACATGTAGGATTGGATAGATTGCGAAAACTTGCTCAAGCACCATTTTTAGTCACAGCCATTCCAACATTACCGACTTTGGTACCATTCTTAGAACTTTCCAACAATCAGGAATATTTGATTAATAGGATCAAAGTTCTCGCGAAAGGAGGCTCTATGAGCGAATTCAAATGGAATGGCGGTGGTTGTCACGGTGGCAAAGAATGGGATTCTAGTTTGCCGACAGATTCAGCGGTAATTTAGTAAATTTCATATATTATAAATTATGCAAGAGAAATGTAATTAAAATAATCTGTTTAACACGTATATCTGTAACTTGTGCAGATAATTATGCACTTGATATCGACATACATGGATACGCAATTGGAAGCGCCATTAGATCAACCCGACGCACGGCCTTTTACCTCCAGATACATGGCTAGATCTGGAATGTCTTTACCACGGAGCAAAGGACCCATTATAGTGTGCCAATCCATAAATCCACCTTATTATAGTTTAACGCATAGTGGTGACTCGTTGCCCAATGACTACGAGGAAATACAACGGGTGAATATGTTTATTAAATTTCGCATGAGGGTAGTTTTTTTCGCGATCACGGTACTATTACGATAACATCGCATGATATGCGGGCATAACATTTGAGAACCTAATCGTCTTTTTCTATTCGGTTTCAGGGTAGAAACAATTTGTTTCATATATTATTGTTGTTCCTATACATCGTCAAGACCCGAGACAACGGCATGTTGGGTCGTGTAAATTTAGGTACTTCAGGCATAAATGTTTTGTGGGTAATCGACAGTTAAGCGTCCGCACATTCATGAAAATTTCAAGCATAAAAAATGAAACATTCGCTAAAAACCTAATGAAATACAAATCGAACAAATTGCATTTCATCGAAACCGTTCCTATCTTCAAATACGGACCGAAAAACGTGACAAATATTTTGATACCACTACAAATGCTTTATTCACAGTATTTACGTTTATGTACAAATAAATCACAAAACATGATCCATGTTTTAAGAACGTCAATTTTCAAGTATTTGGCTTGTTGTGTGGTAAAACCATAATCTACCACTTTTAATCGTGGTTATTGCCAATTTATTAATGTATTTTGTATTATATAGTTGTATGTATACACGCATAAAGTAAGAATGACAATAACAATGACAGCAAAATAAAAGAACACAAAACTGTAGGATTTTGAAGAATGGAACGAATCGATCGAATAAATGCGTACGAAGATGATAGATAACGAATACATTTGCATTTCTATGGATTGCAATATTCAATACGTCATTCCTGGGAGTACATTCCTATCTGGCGTTACTACCGATGCAATAAATTTTGTATACAATTTTATATCGCGTTTTTATTGGAATTTAACGACCGAAAGTCATACGTCGTAAAAAATTATGTTACACTCGTCGTGCAATTTATGATACAATCTTTGGATAATGATTCTCTTAAAAATCAATCGGTATGTACATTAAAGTTTAGCGTCATAATAAAATTAAAACGAACTATTCAACGTACGGTTGAAAAACAACAATGTATTGCTTCGCTAGCGAATGTCCAACCCTTCCGAGAGGTATTTGTGCGCGTAACGCTTCCATCGAAAGTTGCCTGAATCTAGAAGAAAAACACATCAAGTGAAAAGAAGACGATGAATTCTAAAAAGGAAACTTTTACAATCATTTGCCGTTCTGGCAATAAGCATACGTATATACGCACGTGCGTATGTGTTTGTGTATACTTGTATTTATTTATTTATTTATTTTAAATTATTTACGTATTCAAATACGAATTACCTATACATATTCCTACGTAATTGTTTTGTTGGAATTAGCTGGAAACTAAATGAACCAGAAAAGATAAAGAACGGTTCAGAAATAATGAGATACGTTTAAAAAATAGAATATTTGATGCGAATAGTGAATCTTGTACTTGTTAAAAGCAAAAGAAAGCAACTGTTCCCATCTTCCTTTTTCTCTTATTAATCTTTCAGACTATGTATCATCTCATCCCCACATATTCTATGGTTTTTGTAACTTGTTTCAATATAAACAGAGATATACAACGTATAGTACAAAATTAAAAAGATCATCTCCGATGGTTCGCTATTTCATTACTTGTTTCGCCCTGTCTGTTTCATCTTTTTTACTAATTGTTCTTCCCTCGCCTCTCTGTCTCTCTACTTCTCACCTAATTATCGTAGTGAGAAACATGTTCAGTGTTACAAGGAAAATCGTAAATGATCAGCGATCAGAAAGAGAGAGAGGGAGAGAAGAAATCGACCTACCTATCACCAGACTTCAGCCGATGTAGTCAGGCAAGAATCGCTTGAAAAGACACAGAGAAACTTGTCTAGTTTAGGTGGTCGTAAACAATTTGGTTCCTTCCGGTAATATAACTTCTTCGCTGATATCGGCGACAGTGACAGTTAAAGGAAAGATCAGGGGCATTATTATCTCTTGGTGCTGCGTGACGTGTTGACCAGTAACGGTATCTGGTTGTCTAGTGATCGTAATAGTTTTAATGTTCTGCGCTTTCAGCAGTTGTGTCTGTCCAAGCGTGGTTTGCTGGTGCAGTATCCTTTGCTGATTTTGAGCAGACTGTACTTGCGCCAACGTTTGACCACGATTCTGATTCTGAACAAAATTTTGTTTGCATCTCTTGCTATGAGCGTACCGACTTCCGTTATTGTTGAAACGACGATCACAGGTTGGACAGGCGTACGGTCTCTGTCCAGTGTGAATGAAAACGTGCTCCTTCAGGGATTTCAGACGACGAAAGTTTTTGGGACAGTACTTGCAATGATACTTTGCCTCGCCGGTATGTGACGTTAAGTGATTGGCGAGCGTATCGGCTCTGGCGAAAGCGCGCGAACAGTACTGGCAAATGTATGGTCGTTCTTGAGTATGAGTTCTCATATGCATTTTAAGATAGGCGTTGGTCGTAAATGGTCGAGAACAAACCTCGCAAACGTACGGTTTAATACCATTGTGAGCCCTAAGGTGCGCGATCAACGTTGTCGATTGGGTGAAACTTTTCGAGCAGATTTCACAGAGGAATCTCTTGGAGCTGTCGGTTTCTTTGTTCTTCTTAAAAGTTCGATCGTGCTTCGATAAATGATTGGTCAGTTGCTCTTCTTTAATGAAACGTTTCGTACAGCGTGTACACTTGTATGGTTTGATCATATTGTGCTTGGCCACGTGTATCTTCAAATGTTCTCTCCTGTAAAACTTTTTCGGGCATATATCACAGAGGTATTTCTTCCCTTCGTGAACCTGAATGTGGCGAAGAAGTCCTTTCCTAGAGGTGTACTGTTTGTTGCACTCGGTACACTCCAATCCTACTATATCGGTCCTTCTTTTCCTACCGATCTTCTCCCCAGGCTTTTTCTCTTCCGGTCGTGGTTCGATATCCCTCAAGTCTTCTTCTGTGAGAATGCCTTCCGTCACGTGTTTTGATCTATGCTCTCGCAATATCTCGTTATTTTCGAAACTATCCCCACAGATGTTGCATTTTCTCACCTGGTCAGGGTTCTTTTCCGAACATTTGTCGTAGTGAGCTTTCAGTTTGTCCTTGCGATAGAATTTTACATTGCAAATATCGCACTCGAAATTCGGTTCTTCATGCAACAGTTGATGACGCAGTAACGATTTCTTCGTGCTGTACCGCTTTTTGCACTTAACACATTCGTGATTATCCATCGGCCAATCCAACCCGCTTTCGAAATCCGAATCGTAATCATCATCCTTGTTGACCTCGCTCGATTCGATTGCTTCGTTCGCGCAGGTTCTCTGTCGGTCCCTCTTATCCCCGAAAGAGCCCTGCCTTGGCCTCTCCGATTTGATAATTTTCTCTTCCTTCACGTGTTGATCCATGTGCTTTGCCAACGATTGTTTCGAGCTACACTTTTTATTGCAACTCGCGCATTCCAACTCCTTCTTCGTGCAATTATGTTTCTTCTGTGTAGAAGCATCGCGCTTGTTTCGTCCGTAATTTCCGTCCGTAGTGTTTCGCTCAATTATCTTTGCCTCTCGTTCATCTTCGTCCTCGTAATCTTCCAAGCCATCCTCCGTCTTAATTTTATCGATTATCTTTTGAGCTGCTCTCGCAGCTACTCGTTTGATCCGCTTGTTAGGATCGTACTCTTGTCCTTGGACAAAAGTTTTGTGATTCGTAGCTATAAGATGATTTCGTAAAGTTAGTTCATTACCGAACATTTTATTGCATTCTGTACATTTGTAATTTTTCGCACGTTCGTGTTGCTCCATATGCCTCTGCAACAAATCCATTCTCGTGTATCGCTGATAACATAGCTTGCAACTGAATTCGACCTCCGTATGGATCTCCGTGTTTCTAAACAAAACAATATCATTATTTGATCATTTTTTAAATTTACGACTTAATAGTTGGTTAAGACTACTTAACGCAATATATAGTATAGTAGTATAATCTTAGTATAACCTTATATTCCTACCTACCTAGAGTGTCTCTTCAACGCGTTCTCCGACAACTGTGCCTCGTTTTCTCGTTCCCCGTCCTTTCCTTTTCGTCTTCCTACTTCGTAATTTCCTTGCTCCTCCTCTTTAGATTTATCCTCGGAATCCCGATAACCATCTACATCCCTGTCAATCGAAAACTCCGTACCCGCTTCCAAATCTTGTTCAGACAATACACCTTCCACGACGTGCTTGGTTCGGTGATTCCTCAGTTTTTCCAACGAGTCAAATTCTTCTTCGCACACGCTGCATCTAAGAGCGACATGCGAAATCGTGTGCTTCCGCAAACCCCGTCTAGTAGAGAATTTTTCTAGACACTTGTCGCATGCGAAAGACGTGTCCATACGTGCCTCGCGTTTCTTTCGTTCTCCATTTTCGTCTCGATTACATATTCGATCTTTACCTTCGCTGTTCGTCTCATATTCCGTTTGTTTCGCTTTCTCCTCGCTTCTGGTTCTCTCTAGCTCCTCATGCTCTTCGTCAGGGGTTTCCTCTTCTTCCTCCGCCTGCTTCGCAATTCTTTCCTCCTTTTCCGACTTTGTTGCAGCCGCGCCTTCTCTTCTTCTGACTCTTTTTCGATACTCGGAATTCAAGTTGTCTTTATCCACATAATCTTCGAAATCTAAACTATGTTCGTCTTCGTGAAACGAAATTTCTAACGGCAATAATTCCTCTTTCGACTCTTCTTTCTCTTTCTCGTGTTTTTTCAAGTGCTTACTAAAGGATATTATGTATATGTATTGTTTACCGCAATAGGGACATTTGTTCGATCTTTTACCGGATGGAGGCGATTTCGTGAGGTTGCATCTTTCACCATCTTTTTCTGGTTTTTCGATGGACTTTCGCAACGATAACGCTTTTCGGACTTCTTCGTGGGAGTGCATGTGTTCCCGCAAAACGTTTTTCGACAAAAACTCTTTGTCGCAAAGGTAACACATGAAAAAGATCCTTTCCGATTTGTCAGAGTCCTCAGCTTTCTTCAGTCGTGAACTTAAGTTTAGATTTTCAAAATAATTTTCCTCGTCGGAGTCTCGTGCCGTATCGGTGTTCCTTTGAACTAGCTTACGTTTGCTTCTTCTCATTTCGCTTTGACATTGATGATCTTGTTCGACCTTGACATTTGTTCTCGGGTCCTCTTCATCAGGTTGCTCTATTTTATTCGGATCTTCATCTTCTCTGTGGGTCACATCGGCTGCTTTCACCAACATATTGACATACTGCACGCAATCGTCGCGTGAGAACGATTCTTCCGATATTAGTTGTTGCTCTTCTCGGTCTTCTTCTTGGTCTTTTCGTTGACCATCATTTGCCAGTATACATTCTTGTTGCAATATATAATCGTGCTCTACCGTTGAAATATTGTCGATACAATTTTCATTGGTTTCGTGTTTCAGAATACATTCGTCCTTGGTCATAATGTCTGCAACTTTAACATCTTGTTCTTCTCTGTTAGAACACTCCTCCAACATCTGTTCCGACGCGATCACTTCTTCCATCACTGAATTGTCATGTTGTTCTAAACGCGAAAAGACTTTTAATAGAATATAAACGTATAGTTTTCTTAATTTTATAAAGGAAAACGTTTTATCTACCCGTTATTGCATGTTCCTGTTCAGCCAACTTTTCTACTTGCAACAAAGCCAACTGATCCTTTAGAAGAGACGACTTTTCATCACCAGACATCGTTTCCAATGTTTCTACAGCATTCTGATAATGATTTTCTATATGCATTCGTTCTATGTCCTCGTTTCTTTCTCCTACTTCCAGGTGTACTTCGACTTCGTTAAAAAATAATTCTTCCTTCATATTCATGGTAACGAACTTTTCTCTTAGAACTGTATCCGCTTGTTCCACCTGTAGTTTAAATTCGTATGCAGATTCAAGTTTATCCGCGCATATACAACATACGCGCGTTGGCAAGCCATCTCCAGGTACCATCTAAAACAAACCAAACACCGTTAACCCGCTTCTAATAATAATAATTGATTGTTTTATAATACCATCGAATTTCTTTACTTTTCTCTACTTTTCTTTATTTCTTTGCAAAGTAGAGAGGAATCTCGTACAAAAGTATACCAAAAGTATGTTACAGTTCCCGCAATGACACATAGAACATGCTATTTATCAACTGTTCCTAATTAGACGAGAAAACATTACATATCGCTACATTTTCTATAAAATATAACCTCTAAATGGCAAGTCTAACCTTAACGTTTGCAAAACTCATCGCTTTTGTCGATAGTGAAGAAACCTCGTTCTCTAGAAACAAGTCCCGCATCACCAGATTACCCAGAAGACAAACGCGACATATTTCCACTGTCGACACGATGCTTTCCTCCTCATTTTGCGCCGAATCGGACGTATTTATTCCTACGGCGTCCATATTTTGTTTGGTGGACTAGGTGACCTGTATCTGTACTCTGCACTCTGTACTCGCTTCTCACAGTCCGCAGCTTGTGAATAGCCTACAGACCACAATTTCAAACTTGCCGTTCCCTCCAGACTGATTGTACATACAGTGTACGTATGTATTAATGGTCAATCTCCTCCGTCAGCTTCGTAATAATTCAAGCTGCAACAATCTGTCAAATGTAATCACAGACATTTCTTATGAATTAATTATCTACTGTCGCACCCCTTTTTCTATACCGTTTTTAAGTATCCTCATTGATAATGTTATTCCCAGCGTACAAACCGAGCACTTTGTTTTACTTTATGCGATTATATCTCGTTTGTATGTACATACATATGTGGTATGTACGCGCTCCGTTGCCAGTCTATGATCGTCATGTGGCTCACAATCTTATGCATTTCTCTCCACGGGCTCTTTTCATCGTTATGTTATGTTGTTATGTACGCACCTGAAAGTTCAAGTCACGTCTCAACTCATTTCACGGCGTCACGATCGAATTAAATATAGCAGATAATATTCATAATATTCATTAGTTGCACTGAATGACTGATTCTTTAATTTTATTGTACCTGCTTTTACTCCTATAGATATATACACACATTCCCACATTTACGTTGTATCGTATCTACAATGTACATAAATATGCACGTAGACTATGAACACAGACAAGAAAACATAAACAAACGTAACTTCTCGGTTAAACAAAGGGTCAACCAACGTTTATTTTAAACAGCCAATGAAAGAAAATGAAACATAAATTAATAAATATAAATTTAATAAATAACACTTAATAAATGCGATTACAGAGTTATAGATTTTTTCAATTCTACGTACATATGTACTTACACGTTACCATTTAAATTACAATTTGCACAAGGGCGCAGTGTTATAACTTGCTTGAGTTCATTATAATATTGCATTATTTGTAACCATTTGCTGATAGATCTATGAAACTGTAGTCACCAGGCAAAACGATCCACATATACATAGTTCGAAATACTTAGTAATTAGACAGAGATTTAAAATAAGGCTTTTTATTCCAAAACGAATAATCAATTTTCGGAGCGAGCGAGTTACAAACAGCGATAAGATTTTTCAAAAATCTCGTGAAATTTTAAAACGCCATCTACAATAAAAATGCTGGAGTCATTAATCAATTTAGTAATACATATCTATGATGAGATGTCGCTAGTAGACATTTCGAAGGTTTAGGACTGATTTCAAACTTAATTAAATGTGCGTAAATGAAAAATACCAATATATCGCATTTATTTTAATTTCTTTTTTTATAGTATAATTACCTCATAAGCATAGGTGGTCATTATGCTAGAAAAACTCATAGCGCCATCCACGACAAAGTTAATAAGATTTATGCTACTAATAGACATTTTGCTGCATGTACAATAATCTCTCCATTCAAGAACCATATCTGGGACCAACGAGGTACTTGAATTGAGAGAATGCAGCGAATTGCTGGGCTCCGATTGGCTGACAATTCGCAACCGAACAGTGCTGCCCTCATAGTAAATGACAAAGAGAGGAAATAGGGAGTGAGCACAAATCAGCACTGCTGTCGTGCTTGCGGTAAGCATCATTCCTTTTGCGCATTCGTGCGCCTGGCGCTCGCGGCACGATATTTAACTTGTACTTTTCGCCTCGTAGGATTCTCGACTAGATTTGTCAGCGAATTTTCGAACGATGCTCAATGCACATTGAGATTTGATCTGATTGTATTGCATTGACCTGAATGTTAACGCGGGAGTATGAACGAATGTTGCAAGTGAATAGTGTAAATCTCGTATCTATCGCCAATAGATTTTCATTTCTTCTAACACCTATATACAACTCTTTTCAGGGAAATTTCTTTAAAAATGGCATTTATTCATTAAAATGGGTCATATTTCATCTTTCAGAAAAAAATATGAAGTTTACACTATTGCAATGCAGTGTAAAGTGAAACATATATACAAGCATCGTTCGAAAATTCGCTGGCAAATGTGATCGAGAATCCTACGTGGCGACAAGTACAAGTTGAATATCGCGCCGCATGTTTCAGATGAAGCGTCAGACTGTACAGATGCGCGAAAAGAATGAGACCGCAAGCACGATAAAGTGTGACGACGTAGGTTTCTCGTCCGTGTGGACACTTAGCATAGAGTTCGCTGGGTTCTTTCTCTCTCTCTCTCTCTCTCTCTCTCTCTCTCTCTCTCTCTCTCTTGATCATCTTCCGTTCTCTTTTTAAAGTAACTGCGCGAAGATGGATGTGTAGTAGAATGGTAGGGATAGAAAGGTTCTTGAATTGGGAGAAGAAAAAGCTCTGAAATTGAGAGGCGACTGTGTACAATGTAGCACAAGATGACGTCACAGATATCTTTGACCACATTGACCAAGAAAGATTATTATTTTCGGTATCGTGTAACATTATCTTCGAATATATTTAACATATTCGCACATCGAGCTTACTATTCTAACGTCAATTACATCATATAACAAGAGCCCGCTTAGCAAACTTCAGTAAACCTATACTAAACGGTATGTACTTGGTATGTACATTGGTATGTACATTGGTATGTACTTAGTATGTATATACGTGATACATTGGTACTGATCGTGAAACAGCATGGTATTGTACATTAGTACAATTTACGTACATATATACGTGTAAATGTGTAGATATGTATGTATATGTCGCCATATACACGCAGCAAGGGCATCATTGGATGAATCATCTTATGATGCGCGCGCAAGCAAATTATATGTATGTGTGCAGTCCGCGTTGTATATATGTACACACATGCAAAACATATTTATATGTATCATAACTGAGCACTGTGCATCGTTCTCTTCCTATTCGTTGAACACTGTTGAATAGTCGTGTTCAGTCGTGCTGAAGTGTTGAACTACTCTCAGGGGATTTGTACATATATAAATGTTAACAAACAGTTTAAAGTGACATTGGGAAATACTATTTTGGAAAATTTGTGTTGCGTGTTAAACATTCACGTATTTGTCTTACAGCAAAATACGTTGAATCATGTATGAAGAGTCGAGAATTTCTCCCGTACAGTGTCGGTGAGTTGTCTATAAATAGAAAACTATTCGGGAAATTAAATGTCGGGATTAAATTGCGATACACTATCTACGAATTCGTAACATCCATAAATTATTTATAGTTGTAATGCTGAGAGACAGTTCTGAATTAGTGTTCCAAATAGAATGTAAGATTCATTTGTACATGGCGTGCGATTATTTTACGATTTTAATTACAAGTTTACCTACATACGTACGTATATGTATGCAAATGTAATGTATGCATATATATGCGTTTGATTGGCGAAGGAAGCAATAAAAACACGTAATTACGCATCGTGTACTTATCCACATATGTAGTATCGGTTTACGCGACGCGTTAAATCTAAAACAGCCGCGTTGTGGGAGATTTGTTCGAAAAAAAGCTCAAGTAAATGAGAGCGAAAGGGACGAAAAGAAAAAGCATGCTTGAAATAGAAACCAACAGAGAAGGGCTATGTACAGATATGTTTCAACTGGGAGGGATTACAAGTATTTTTAGCTATTTAGCTGACAGTAGCCATGCAAATAAGATTTTAAGTTTATAAAATCTTTTCGAATGAATGTCCTTTATATATTAATTTATATCCGTTCTATCAGGATAACTTGTATTGTTTATTTTGGTAGTGGTACGGAGAGCGAACAACGATATTATGAATTACGAAGTGGCAGTAGATCTCGTTCTCACACTCCATTGGTCCAAAACCGTGCCTTAGCAGAAACAGAAATCTCGGATCATCATTATGACTTAAGAAATCGAAGCCGAGAGAGATCCAGTACTCCCGGAGAAACTATGAACAGCAAAAGGTTCCCTTTTAGATCTTTCTTAGTTTACGATAATTATTATCTATTAGTTTCAAAAGTATACATCTTTTTTCAAAACTAGATCTGGAACTTATAGCAGGGTACACGATCAAAATATGGAAATGATAATGGAAGGAAGCGAAGAAATCACTGTCTTAGAAACATCTGNGTTCTTTCTCTCTCTCTCTCTCTCTCTCTCTCTCTCTCTCTCTCTCTCTCTTGATCATCTTCCGTTCTCTTTTTAAAGTAACTGCGCGAAGATGGATGTGTAGTAGAATGGTAGGGATAGAAAGGTTCTTGAATTGGGAGAAGAAAAAGCTCTGAAATTGAGAGGCGACTGTGTACAATGTAGCACAAGATGACGTCACAGATATCTTTGACCACATTGACCAAGAAAGATTATTATTTTCGGTATCGTGTAACATTATCTTCGAATATATTTAACATATTCGCACATCGAGCTTACTATTCTAACGTCAATTACATCATATAACAAGAGCCCGCTTAGCAAACTTCAGTAAACCTATACTAAACGGTATGTACTTGGTATGTACATTGGTATGTACATTGGTATGTACTTAGTATGTATATACGTGATACATTGGTACTGATCGTGAAACAGCATGGTATTGTACATTAGTACAATTTACGTACATATATACGTGTAAATGTGTAGATATGTATGTATATGTCGCCATATACACGCAGCAAGGGCATCATTGGATGAATCATCTTATGATGCGCGCGCAAGCAAATTATATGTATGTGTGCAGTCCGCGTTGTATATATGTACACACATGCAAAACATATTTATATGTATCATAACTGAGCACTGTGCATCGTTCTCTTCCTATTCGTTGAACACTGTTGAATAGTCGTGTTCAGTCGTGCTGAAGTGTTGAACTACTCTCAGGGGATTTGTACATATATAAATGTTAACAAACAGTTTAAAGTGACATTGGGAAATACTATTTTGGAAAATTTGTGTTGCGTGTTAAACATTCACGTATTTGTCTTACAGCAAAATACGTTGAATCATGTATGAAGAGTCGAGAATTTCTCCCGTACAGTGTCGGTGAGTTGTCTATAAATAGAAAACTATTCGGGAAATTAAATGTCGGGATTAAATTGCGATACACTATCTACGAATTCGTAACATCCATAAATTATTTATAGTTGTAATGCTGAGAGACAGTTCTGAATTAGTGTTCCAAATAGAATGTAAGATTCATTTGTACATGGCGTGCGATTATTTTACGATTTTAATTACAAGTTTACCTACATACGTACGTATATGTATGCAAATGTAATGTATGCATATATATGCGTTTGATTGGCGAAGGAAGCAATAAAAACACGTAATTACGCATCGTGTACTTATCCACATATGTAGTATCGGTTTACGCGACGCGTTAAATCTAAAACAGCCGCGTTGTGGGAGATTTGTTCGAAAAAAAGCTCAAGTAAATGAGAGCGAAAGGGACGAAAAGAAAAAGCATGCTTGAAATAGAAACCAACAGAGAAGGGCTATGTACAGATATGTTTCAACTGGGAGGGATTACAAGTATTTTTAGCTATTTAGCTGACAGTAGCCATGCAAATAAGATTTTAAGTTTATAAAATCTTTTCGAATGAATGTCCTTTATATATTAATTTATATCCGTTCTATCAGGATAACTTGTATTGTTTATTTTGGTAGTGGTACGGAGAGCGAACAACGATATTATGAATTACGAAGTGGCAGTAGATCTCGTTCTCACACTCCATTGGTCCAAAACCGTGCCTTAGCAGAAACAGAAATCTCGGATCATCATTATGACTTAAGAAATCGAAGCCGAGAGAGATCCAGTACTCCCGGAGAAACTATGAACAGCAAAAGGTTCCCTTTTAGATCTTTCTTAGTTTACGATAATTATTATCTATTAGTTTCAAAAGTATACATCTTTTTTCAAAACTAGATCTGGAACTTATAGCAGGGTACACGATCAAAATATGGAAATGATAATGGAAGGAAGCGAAGAAATCACTGTCTTAGAAACATCTGAAAGTGATTGCAGAAGACCAGAAAATTCACCTATCTCTGCTAAAAAAGCAGAGAGACGTTCAGAGCGACAAAAAGCAAAGAGGGAAGTACTTGCAAACGGTCAAAATGAAAAGAAAGATATCTCGTCTGGTGAAAAGTATGAGAAACAGAGCAAGAATATTGCCGTGCAAAGGACAATAACTAGCGATTACTCTTCTGAAGAGGGTGAAAAGGATGATTCGTCTAATAGGCCAAATACCGCGCATGAAATTTACAAACAAGCCGGCGATTGGTGGAAGTATGTTTTTCAAATAATACAGCCTTATAATAGAGATAAACATTTCTTCGAGTATAATGCTATACATTTAAAATACTATATTCCAGCGTATTTCCAAAGACAGACTACACTTATTCACAAACGTCACAGTGTCGGTACGAAATTGCTCCAGGTATACTAGCAATGCCTAATATGTCACGACGGTCCATACATTCGGACGCAGAAATGTCCGAGCGGTTGACGTGTAATCCATCGGTGAGCAGTACATGCAAAACAGCGGGTATCAAACGTGACACGGATACAATCCTTCGTTCAAGGTTGGTTGCTCGAATGTATTATCTGTACGACGGAGGTCGCCGGGTCAATATTGTGTTTACACTTTAATGTTGTAACGTCTTACCAAGACTAGGTACAGTAATAACTCGGTTACATTCATGTTCACCTTCTGAGGGGTCATACGGAAATGGAAAATTTTACAGGTTCACTTCTGAAGAGAAATACGTTTGCTTTCTTGTTTGCCTTAGACAATTGCTGCGTTCCGATTCGCCATTAAAACGTATCAACTCTCGTAAGTTGAAAGTCACATCCTCTCTTGAATCTGACACAGAATTGGACGACGCCGTTACAACGTCGAGCAGATCGAACAAGCAGAGGAGATTGATGGAACGTTTTACAAGTTTCGTATCCATCATTATTTTATGGTTTAATAAGATACTTGAGTTTTTAAAGCTCAAGACAGTCAGAAGAAGAGACTATAGTGATAGTTACCACTATTTGAGACATGGTATTGTTGAATCAGTAATTGCAGTAGGGTAGTGGAACCAATTACAGTGATGTCCACTTGCTGTGCCTTTGGTTTTTTTGTGGACGTAATTAACTATATATTTATCGAATAAGACATATTACATTTTTCTTTTATTTTTGAATAAAATTTGATAAATATGAAGTTAATTAAGCCCGAAAACAAATCAAGGAACACAGTAACTGGCTCCATTATCCTATATTTTCAAATTTTTTAGGGTTGATATAATCGTTAACTTTTTTCAATTACAGAATCTAAATGGTACAAAGCGTGGCAATACATTGACCATTATTTGCTGTATGTGTATATCTTTATGGTTAAAGTATTCTTATTTGACACGTGGCTGCTGAGCAGAGTTTCGAATATACGAAAATGGATACGGCAAAGAAACCCTAAGGTCCTTTGGGTCGCTCTACTACCATTGCTTTTTCTAATGGGTAAATTTTGACAAACGTGGAAATCATTTTGATAAACTTATCGCGAAAGAGATTTGTCTCGAGCATATCGTTTAGTGTGACCAAGATTTTCTTAAATGTTCGTCGGCAACATAAAATAAAATGAAACAGTTGAAGTGGCATCATTGAGCATATTGGCGAAATATCAACTATTTTGGCGTTTCTTTTTCTTTTTGTTTCAGGAATTTACATCGTGAAAAAACAGAACGTTATCAGTCTGGATTTGCTGCACGATATTCCCTATGATATCACTGAGACGTGCGATCACATGTATTCCGATTTTGTTAATAGAGCACGCTTCGGAAGCGATTTGCTCGTCGAATATATCAAAAAACTGAGAAATTTCCCAGCATATTTTCTATCCAGTGTAAACGTGTCTTTATCCGAGATACCTAACATTGGCTGGAATTTAGTCTGGTGATTGGCCACGATAAACTGTTTCTCCGTGAGATTTCTCACGATTAACTTTCGATCGAACGCGACGCTAGGACACAGCCCCCTTATTGTCTGTTTAGAATTTTTGTTTGAAAGGTTGTATGTCGTCGGAATCTCGACCGTCTCAATCTTGGATGTTTTATTATTCGCAACGCTTCTTAACATTTTGCTTTCTAATCTTCTCATTTATAGGTATTTGTATATTGAAAGTTTTGCGGTGACAGAATTCTTGATTTTTGTCGCCTGCTTTATTAATCGACCACTTCATTTATATAATAAATACGCGTGTCTGCATTTACTAATCTAGAATCTTAAATACTATAGTAGCGTGCGTGGTTATAAGTACTGTCGCGTTACGTATCTTAGGAGGATATTGTATTTGTAGCATGTAGTTGGAATGCTATCTCCAAATTATTTCAAAATGTACTTCTATTTATCCCGGATACAAATACGGAAGCGGATTGCTCCATGGAATTCAGAGAACAACGCCGCGAGCAATGTTTCTCTGCACACATTTGGTGTCGCTGTGGTATCTGTGAGAAACATATTCGTATATCGTCGAACGCATTCGTTTTTTAAAAATTGCTTCTACTCATTTAATATAGTATTTTTCATATTCTCAAGTCACGAGATTAAAACGACATTTGATACGATTTAAGTATTCAATCGGGTCTGGGTTAGGGAAATAGATAAGTTAAAAGACGGGAGAAGGATAGATGGAGTAGGATTATTTGACTGGCGATGTAAAATGGAGTATTTGCGCTTCACGGGGAATATGGACACGATCAATATCTTGATGTCATCGGAATGGTGAGTCCCCTTCGTCTATCCTTCTCTCGATACCTATATCGAATCTAGAACCAACAAAGCTTAACAAAGATTGCATTTGAATTTTTCAGGTAACTGGTGTCTACCATACTTTTCGACGTCCTTACTTTCGATCGACGCGATCACTGGACGACTTCGAGGCCAGCACTGGACAATGTTAGAATTCTCTTCAAACGATAGAGAATCTTTTTCTAAGGCGAAACGTTTCGAAGAGACTGACGATTTTAGTACTATCGCTGAAAAATTACACAGTAGTATTAGTCGATTAGAAGATCGAACCATCGAACAAGGGGTAAGAGTATTGATTACATATATAACAGATATACTCGTTCGCTTAAGCGTTATATTTAAATGTTTATTTTCTGTTTTGTAATCCTTACAACACTGTAATCGTTACACATGTTGGCCGTTGCAGAATCGCCTCTCGAGAGCGCTCGAGAGACTACGGGAAAACGATTTTGCCTGGTCTAGACTCGACGTAAGTAGCCAGAATGCAAGCAAATATGACGTGAAGAAATACGGATCGTAATAACGTAATATAAAAGGTTAACGCTCTCGTTACAGAATAAGATACTGTCACTGGAGAAAAGTATAGAAGATCGTAATTTAATCCACACTTACGATCACGAGTTTAACACGTTGAAGGAACTATATTCAGAATTGAAGTTGTGTTGTAACACTCGTTTCGAACAGATCGGTATCAATGATTTGGAGAAACGCATTGAAACGATTTTGGCCAAATACATTGATTTGCCGAATGATTTGCCGAAAACGATTCGAAATACGGTACTGACAGCGAATGACTATAATTCGAATGCGGATACGGAAACTAGTAAGGATAACTTTTTACTTCTTCTTTGTTCTTTTTTTTTCAATTTCATGGATTGTATGATTTGTAAAAAGAAATGAACATATCTACAGGGAGGGTGGAATCTTTGTCTGTTGATGAACGCGTTCGTGAAATAGTCAGAGATGCCTTAAGGATATACGACGCGGATAAAACGGGCCGCGTAGATTACGCATTGGAGTCTGCAGGTACAGCATACATTTCTTCTGTTGTTGTTATTCTTCTTCTTCTTCTTCTTCTTATTATTATTATTGTTATTATTATTACCTGATCAACACTGCGTTTCGTAGGCGGTCAAATTATTAGCACGCGTTGCACGCAGAGATACGATATAAACACGAGAGCTTTCAAGTTACTGACGTTTATGCTCTATCATGAAAATAACAATCCTCGAACAGTGATTCAAGGAAATCCAATACAACCTGGCGCCTGCTGGGCGTTCCAAGGATTTCCAGGATATTTATTAATTAAGTTGCGTAGCTCTATTTACATTACTGGATTCACAGTCGAGCATGCACCTAAGTCGATATTACCCAATGGAGAAATGAGAAGTGCTCCTAAAAAGTTCAATGTTTGGGTAAGCGAACCGCTTTTCAATTAAGATTGATACGTATTTGACAAACACATAATTCGTACAGGGTTTTGTCGATGAGAACGATCCTCTTCCGGTGATGTTCGGAGACTATGAATTTGCTGCCACGGATGACAATTTACAATACTTTCCTGTTCAAGTAAGGTTACTCGCATGTCATACGATTTCTCTGTTTGGAAAGTTGTTTAAACAGTTAACGTTTTTATTCGTAGAACACAACAATTCAGACTCCATACGAGTTCGTGGAATTAAGAGTGAACAGCAATCACGGACAACTTGATTACACGTGTTTGTATAGATTTCGTGTTCATGGTAGACCAGTATGAACTAGTGTTAGCCGATTGTGCGAGAGTGTGCTATTTTGTAATCGAGGTTCATGATGTGGTATCAGCAACATCAGCAGGACCAACAGCAACATAATCGGCAAGCCTGACTACTTAACAGAACAAGCTCGCGCCTCGAAAGAAACTATTATTTCTGGATACGTGCCTTCAATTGTCATCGTTGACGAAACGACCGATGTCGTTATAGTTGTAAAAGACGAATCTTGAAACACGCCTCTGCTTAGTGCGAAAGCGAACAAGGTGAACACGAGTTACCAACTTCGTCACCGGTATATTATAGAACACTAGTGTCGAGTGTGGAGTGTCAAGTGCACCGAATCGGAATCGATCGCTTAACAACTAACTTCACCTTTTCTGATCCTTTGCGTGGCTACTCGTGCTCTTTTGTTTAATTTTTTAATAAAGCACAAAAACATATGATAAGTGATCTTAGGTTTACATAGAAGAGAACTTGACTTCTGTGTGCTGATATTTTGCATCAAAACGGGCGAATCATGCTACAACTTCTACGGAAAGTAAACACTGTGTTCCAAATATTATCCAAAGCATAATAACCCTAAAAAGTAAAGATAATGCGACAGTACAAATTGTAAGAAAGAAAATGAAAATCACCTGATCGTTGTTTGATAATTGTGTTTGGAGTGTTTTTTACGGTCACCGAGTGTATGATGTATAATGTTCTTATTTTCTTTTTTCTAGAAGTTTAACATATTTTGTTCAAAATGCATGTGCTTTATGCCGTGTAACATATAATGCATATAATGTATGTATATGTATACATTACTGAAAATTAAGGAACACTATTTTGCAATCATGCATTTTAGCATTTTACACCTACCCTTTTCCTCTAATTTTCATTTATTTTGTTTAGTGCAATCACAGGATGTTCATCAATGACAAACCCATTCGGAGATACCACATCATTGTCGCATTGCTATTTAAACATTAATCATGTGTAATGTATTTATGGATTATACGTATATACACACATATCGTTGCAACGTGTTCTTTGCATTTTTCTTCGGTACAGGCCCAGAAGTATGTCTGTGCGCTGGTGTTAACAAAAATGTGCAATCTCTTAGTTCAAGCTTACAAAAGTAGTGCAATCTCTTACTTTAAGCTTAATTAATCTCTTAATTTAAGCTTATAAAAGCTTAAAAATTCCCATGGAAATACGGACATGTTAAAAATGAATTTTTCACTAATCATTTTATGAAATAACATGCATTTATTAAACATTGATTTCTATCATAGACTGTTTTAAATTTGATGCGCTTCGTTTCGGGATCAGCACAGTGTTAAAACTATTTAACGACAAAGTAAAAACGGTAGACAAATTACCGACTGCCAATATATATTTTTTTAAATATCAGTTGGCGCCACTGTACGTCTCTCTGATTGTTTTTACTTGGTCGGTAAATTTGTCTACCAATTCGAGCGTTTCACCACTACGTATACTGGCGCTATTTCGACATTTTTCAAAAACCGATAATTCGTACTGGAATTAATATTGTCTTATGAGAGGAGTGGTAAAAATCATCTGTTCCGAATATTTGTAATAATAAATAAATTTTCGTTGTACCATGTACACGGAAAAGAGTCTCCTGAACATTTTCGTAGCCCTTAAAATAGTTCTTTGAACCCTAAATTGGCAGATATCACGTCAAAGGATCGATTATGATCACTTTATTTCAAGTTTCTTGTACTTCATTAACAATTGATTTATAATGATTCTCCCCTTCATAATATTCCTCCTCGCCTTCTCCACGATATTCGCTAGGATATTTCAAATATTGTTCTGGTTCCATTAAGTCCTCCGAACATTTCTCTGCCAGTGAGTCCAAGGAAACCTAGAAAATTTGTTGACTGCTGCATTATCAATCATAGAATATAGTGTAGAATAATTATTATATTATATTATATTATATTATATACATTATAAATCATATGAAATGGGAATACTGTAAATCGGAAAAACTTTTTTGGATTTAGAGTGAAAAAGGTTGATACTAGATTTATGGAACGCGGTTCAAATTGTTTAATAAGATTACTTGAATTGCAAAGATACATTTACGGAAAATTCGCTCTCAACAAATATGTCTCATTGGACATGCATTATAATAAAAACCATTGAAGATCCGAATAAATATATGCTTTGTTGTCTTCACGAAGCAACATAAAATAGCTGTTTTTAGTGCTCCCCGTGATCCTAGCGTTAAAGATTTCTCGCGGTGGTTGATGTATATCGATAGCATCGGGTAACCGGAACACTTTTTGTCAGCCCAAGATGCATTTACGAGACGCGGATATCGTAATTGCTTTAACGAATCCGCTGTTCAGACGCGCTGCGCGATCGAAATTAGAGCGACCGGAAATTCTCGTTAGACCGTTTCCAGTCTATTTAGACCGATCATCTTGTCGGCCTTGTTTCCGGGAACTTCCGCTTTCGGGAATGTTCGAAGCATTGGTTGAATCCGTTACGATCCCGGAAACCGGATATTGTGAAACAGCTTTCCGATATTCATTTCGAACCGAACCGAACGGAACGCCGTACAGGATGGTCGTTTTTAACACGTTAAATGTCACGGAAGACACCGATGACTGACGCGACCACGTTTAATTTTCGAACGGTGAACTCTGTGAAGTTTTCTAAGTATAATTAATGAAACGTAACAAGTAATAAATATTGGGTTGGCAACTAAGTAATCGCCGATTTGTTCAATGAAATAAAAAATTTCTTTTTTACTTGGAACGAAGTTCAATCTGTAATGTATTTTCCATTTTGTTCGATGACCTTTTGCCGTCTCTCCGACAACTTGAAAATCCCACGCTCGTAGAAAGTCTGATCCTTTTCGGCCAAAAACTGAGTTAAGCGAGATTTTACAGCGTCATCGTCGTTAAAAGTTTTACCACGAAGGGAGTTGTCCAGGGATCGAAATAAGTGGTAATCCGATGGCGCGAGATCAGGGCTATATGCTGGGTGTAACATCGATTCCCAAGCAATATCCATGAATTTTTGCCGAGTGGACAAAGACGTGCGCGGCCTAGCATTGTCCTGCTGGAAAATGACACCTTTACGATCGACCAATTCTGGTCGCTTTTCCTTGACCGCTGCATTCAATTTGTCCAGTTGCTAACATTCACGGATAATAAAAAATAACATACTAATAATAATAATAATAATTTTATAATATAACATTTACGGATATCATAAAAATGGGAGTGAGAGACGTCTATAACTGAAATCGGCAATTACTTAGTTGCCAACCCAATATATTTTTACTTATACTTGTACTTACATCATATTGGTATAAATTATTGTATAACGATGGTGGATCAATATACGGCGGATTTTATGCATTTATAAAGAAATTGAGCAAATGAAATATGGAACAATGAAAACGATTAAGACAGTTATCCTTGACCGCTGCATTCAATTTGTCCAGTTGCTAACATTCACGGATAATAAAAAATAACATAATAATAATAATAATAATAATATTATAATATAACATTTACGGATATCATAAAAATGGGAGTGAGAGACATCTATAACTGAAATCGGCAATTACTTAGTTGCCAACCCAATATATTATCAAAACCTCCTCGTTGAGACTGAAGCTAATCCTTTTATTGGTTTCAATATTAACACTATGCCGTCCGGTGGCACCACGCTGGTGCCATGCAAAAACTATCTGTTGTATGCCGGTGGTACCACTTTGGTGCCATTTTAGAAAACTGAAATAACATTTGAACTATATTTCTTGGGTGTTAAAAAAGTCAGCAAGCTAACTATAGCATTGTGGTCGCTTTTCCTTGACCGCTGCATTCAATTTGTCCAGTTGCTAACATTCACGGATAATAAAAAATAACATACTAATAATAATAATAATAATTTTATAATATAACATTTACGGATATCATAAAAATGGGAGTGAGAGACGTCTATAACTGAAATCGGCAATTACTTAGTTGCCAACCCAATATAAATATTTTCATTCGTTGCAACATCGATTCTCATTGGAAAGCGATGCATAATAGAAGTGCTTTTCTTAGCTGAATAGAAATAATGGAGTTTAACGAAGGCTTGGTTGTTTATGAAACATATTGTTACCTCTTCTTGCAGAGGTACCGGTTCAGGTGGCAGCAGATCAGGATTATAAGGTGTAATGCAGCGTGCACGCCATAGGGCTATGATCCCTTTCTTCAAAGGTAGCGGTTCTATTGCCGTTGGATCCTTTTTCTCATCTTCCTCTTTATCCTATACCGAGTAAACATGGTGCAATTTTAATCGCTGGAAACTTTTTCTTGGAAACCGAGGCTTGAATCATAGCATCCGCAGTCGACATAAATGTTCGTCTGGTTATCGCAGTACAATAAAAAAGGAAGTTACAAATGAGACAATGTCCTTATTATTAAATCACCGTCAGTCAAACGACCAGTTTCATAATTTTTATTTTACATTCATTGAATTCATAAAAATTGCTTCCATCAAAAATTGTCGAATACATTTTCTCGTTACGCAATATTATAGAAAATTGTGAAAAATGTAAATACATTCGATCCGATAACGTTTATAAGGTAACACTGTACTTTTGGGTCTCGGCGCGTTTAGTGTTAATCGAGTCGCCTATTAGTATTTCAGATGCACATTTTCGAAGCACATATAATTCATTCGATTGTACAGAAATTGTTTGTATAAATTGCAATACGTATAAAGATCTGTTTTCTTTTCTTTTTTTAATACTTTTAACGAAGCGAACACAGTGTCGAAGTGTATTTAAATTCTTTGAACGTTCTTACCGTTCGGTACAACATTCGATCGACCGGATTTATCGTAACTTACGTAAAATCATACGATAATATTATCTTACCTCGACAGGTTCTTCTTTCGTTTCGTCGTACTCGGGATTTTTAACGTGAACGTAGTGGCCGTGCTGCATGCAAGCGTTCTCGAACGTGAAGCACCCGCGACCATAAGGCTGCGATTGTATGTTCAATGAATGATATAGTTTTTTTAGATTTTTCTGATGCCGGGTCGTTTCCCGGAACCACCCACGGCCTCACCAAATTTAACTCCCAGAATCCGTGGAACCTATGACGGGGGTGTATTAATTGACCAGCCCCTTGCATACGATCCACGATCCATGTGCCCATAAATTTCGTGTTCGTGGCCGCGTAGAGATACGATCCCATACCGTGCCGACAGTTCTTCTTCCAAGAACCTTCGTAAATATCGCCATTCACGTAATAGTAGACACCGAAACCGTATTTCATGTCCCGCTTCCACTCACCTACGAAATCCACGAGAGAAAAAAAGCGGAGCTACCAAAGAGATTTCCAAACGAAAATCACGGACGACGCGTGCAGATTAACCAGTTAGCTGTGTTCGACGAGTGTACTCGTCACGGAGTAGTGGGCTGTACTTTGTGTCACGAAAAGTAGTGATCGTTGGCTACTTAAATTATAATTTTAGTTAGAAAACAAATTTATAAATTATATAAATATATTATTATTAATTATATATATATATAAATATATATTATTATTAATTATATATATACAAATATATTATTATTAATTATATATATATAAATATATTATTATTAATTATATATATAAGTATATTTTCCGAGATCTGTTAAATAAATCTAGATTTGTTCCGTGATGCGAGAAAGTTACAAAACTAAATGTTGCCTTTTCTGCAATATTTGTGGATAAAATACTTTTGGATTTCTGAACGTGTGCCCTTTTCTCGATGATTATTTTTTTATAATCAGCCTCTTATCTGTTCATTTGTCTGACCGGTAAGAATCATCGAAGCTGACGTGTGCTACGAAAATAATAGCGTAGATATAAGTATGACTAGGTAGGGATCCACGTTTTCCAGATTGAAGCAGATCATTCTATTTTGATAGGTGATTCCGTACCCTCGTATCGTGTTCCGTCCGGGTACCAAAAGGTTCCTTGACCGTACTTCACGCCTTGTCTCCATTCACCGTCGTACCTGGCACCAATTTTCAACACATAAAGGCCTCGGCCGTGCCGCAAGCCTTTGCAATATTGGCCGACGTACATATCGCCGTTCGGAAGTAGAGCTTTCCCGTGTCCATGTCTATCACCATTCTCGTTCCTTTCACCTTCGTACAACTGCAATTATCCTCTTTTTGTTGTTTAACAATCGTTTCACTCGAAAACGATATGATCTAGATACAGTGGCCCACAAAAGTGTTCGTACACCCTTTAACTTTTTTCAAACTAGATTAAGTGACTTGAACTTTTTTTTAGATGGTAGCGAAACTGGTCTACTAGACGATGATCAAAATGTCTTTTTTAAATTTTGCCATTGCTTAGAATGACAGGAGAAGATAAAAAACTCTCGTTTCTAAATTCTTTTATCTAATGTCTGTAATGGAAATTTAAAAAATGCCATTCGTAGATCTTGGTGTAACTTATATGCATGCTTGTATTTGAAATTAACTGTAATAATTAATAAATAATTATTTATATTAATAATTAATTATAATAAATTAATTAAATCAAATTAAAGATGACAAAAATCGCAGTTTTATTTAACCGATTTCGATCAAATTTTCAACATGTGTATAAGTTACCGAGGTCTACGAAAGGCATTTTTTAAATGTTTGTTACAGGATCAGATACAAACATTAAAAAAACGAGGGTTTTTTTTATTTTATTTTATGTCATTCTAAGCAATAGCAAAATTTATAAAAAGCATTTTAGTTTCGCTGTTATAAAAAAAAATTCAAGTCAATTAGTTCAGTTTTAACAAAATTATTGCGCTTTAAAAGTTGTACAAACACTTTTCTGGGCGACTGTACAATTTTTATACGCATTCTCTCAGAAAAGAAAATAGCGCGTGTCCTAAACTTTCATTCATTCGTTGAAATTATACAGAGATATTAAGAGAAGAAGAAAATTATAAAAAAACATGATGTTTATAATAGTTATGTTTATAATGATATAGTTTATACGGATAAAGTTTATAATGATGAAGTTCGTATGGATAAAGAAAGAAAGCAAAGGTCCATGAAAGAATTGGAGCCTCTTCAGGATTTAATCCACACCGGAAACACGTATTACCAGCACGATTTGCGTTCACGTTGCTTTTGAAAATGGAGGGTTCGCAGCAAAGTATGTCACTGCATTTTGAATATTATTTCCGCGAAGATTTTAGATTATTAATTTGCAAAGAAGGATGCTTACGCCCAAGGGATTTGTTTCCTCTTCTCCTCTTTCACCAGGATATTCCATGTTTCATTTGGTTGACAGTTTCGTTTTGCAACCTCGAAACAAAATGAGGATCATGTGCCGTAGACGCGGCGCACGTTTCAAAACGGAAATGGGCGTGTCGTTGTTTATAATGTTGACTTTATTTCGACTTATTAATTCGACTTAGCAGGATTAAGATATCATTATGATATTAAACTGCAATGTATTCTGATGCGTTATGCGAATGAATAGTTTAAGAGGAG